TGCTTAGGTTGGTACACTTCTTCAAAAGCTCTTCAATATGAAGTATGATGGTACTGCTGGGGTTAGAGATTATGTCCTTAGGATGGTAGACCTAAAGACGAAGCTTCAAGCTCTTAATGTTTCCATTCCTGATGCTTGTATTGTGCATCAAGCCCTGAACACCCTTCCACCTGATTTTGGGATTATAAAGACAAATTACAATTCCCAAGATGAGACTTGGTCAGTTAATGACTTGATAGCAAGGGTGGTGGCAAAGGAATAGAAACTTAAGAAAGAAAAAGGGCATCTAGCCTTATTTGTTTCTGGTTCCCACAAAAGGAAGGATAAGAAGTCCAGAAATCGTACTCATAAAGGTACTCATGACACTACCAATCAATCTGACAATATGGGTCCAAAGAAAACATCCTTCAAAAAGGATGGTGACCACTGCTTCTTTTGTAAGAAGAAAGGTCACATAAAGAAGGACTGTGGAAAATTCAAAGCTTGGTTGTCCAAACGTGAGCCTACAGGTAATGATTCTTTGGCACTTGTTTGTGAATCTAACCCATCAGAAGCACCATCTAGTTCTTGGTGGCTCGATAGCGGTGCAACTAATCATGTTGCGTTTACCATACAGGGATTCATAAATCGGAGGAAACCAAATCAGGATGAGTCAAGACTCATTGTAGGAAACAACGAGAAAGCTGATGTTGTGTTTGTGAAAGATGTTATATTGATTCTAGACTCTGGTTTTAGATTAATGTTGAAAGACACTTTTTATGTACCTTCTTTTAGACGGAACTTAGTTTCCGTATCGTGTTTGGACATGTATGGCTACTCTTTTGAAATCAAGAACAATGTAATTTCTTTGTTTCTTAATTCAAATAAGGTTGGGTGCTGTAATATGTCCAACGGATTGTACAGATTGTGTTTGTCTCCCAATGACATATACGTCGCTTATACGGCTGAAAAGGTTGTTTCCAAGAGACCACTACCTAAGGAACAGTCTTATGCATTGTGGCATAAACGGCTTGGTCATATCTCTAAAGATAGAGTAGAAAGGCTGATAAAGTCTAACATTCTGCCTGCTCTTAAAAATGACCTAGAGACATGCGTAGACTGTTGTAGAGGTAAAATGACCAAGATAAGGAAGAAAACTGCAGTCCGAAGTTCTGACCTGTTAGAGGTCATTCACACTGATATAAGTGGACCCTATACGGCAACCTTGTGTAGAAATTTTTATTTCATCACATTTATTGATGACTTTTCTCGATATGGTTATCTGTACTTGATTAAAGAAAAGTCTGAGTCTCTTGACAAGTTCAAGATTTTTCGGACTGAAGTCGAGAAACAGTTGGGAAAGGTCATAAAGGTTGTTAGATCTGACCGAGGTGGAGAGTATTATGGCAAGCATGGCGATGCCGGACAACTTAAGGGGCCATTTGCCAAATACTTAGAGGATTCTGGGATAGTGGCTCAATTCACTATGCCCGGGAGTCCTTAGCAAAATGGTGTAGCTGAAAGGCGCAATCGCACCCTTATGGAAATGGTGAGGAGTATGATTAGTAGGACAAATTTACCTGATTTTCTGTGGGGTGAAGCTTTGAAAATAGCTTTGTACATTCTGAATCGTGTACCTACTAAAGCTGTTCCATTGACTCCTTTTGAGTTATGGACTGGACGTAAGCCTAGCTTAAACCATCTTAAGGTTTGGGGATGTCCTGCAGAAGTGAAGTTATATAATCCAACATTAAGTAAGTTGGACTCCAGAACCACTCGGTGTTACTTTGTATCTTACCCGGATCATTCGAAGGGATATCGATTCTACAATCCCAATGAAGGCACAAGAATTGTGGAATCACAGACAGCCAAGTTTCTGGAGTTTAATGTGGTCGAAAAAAGTAGCTGCTCACAGACTATTGAGGATAATAGTACGGTGGGTAATGTTGTACCTTTATCTCCTCCCATATAGATAATTGTGGAGACTCCCACACCACAGACTGAACCTGTTGAGGCTCAGGATCCTGTTGTCGAGACAGCTCCTAATGAAGTTCCTCAAGGCTCTTAGGTGCAGAATGAGGCTGTTACTACTCCAGTAAGGAGATCCATTAGGGAGAGACAATCAGCTATACCACCGAACTATTTAGTCTATATAGGAGAGCAAGACTACGATATCGGTTCTGTGGCGGATCCAGTGACTTATGCGGAAGCTGTTTCTTGTCCTTAGTCGAAACTGTGGTTGGATGCAATGAGAGATGAAATGCAGTCTATGAAGCATAATGGAGTTTGGGAACTTGTTAAATTACCTGAAGGTCATAGACCCATTGACTGCAAATGGGTGTATAAGACTAAAAGGGACTCTAAAGGAAAGATTGAGAAGTTTAAAGCCAGACTGGTAGCCAAGGGTTTCACTCAGAGAGAAGGAGTAGACTATGAAGCAATTTTTTCTCCAGTCTCTTCTAAAGATTCTTTCATAGTGATCATGGCATTGGTAGCTCATTTCAATATGGAGTTACGCCAGATGGATGTTAAAACTGCATTTCTCAATGGAGACCTTAATGAAGAAGTCTATATGATGCAATCCGAAGGCTTTGCGGCAGATGATTCAGGTACGCTTGTATGTAGACTAAAAAAGTCTATTTATGGTCTCAAGCAAGCTTCTAGACAATGGTACTTGAAGTTTCATAGTGTTGTCGCTTCATTTGGTTTTGTTGAGAACAAAGTAGATCGGTGTATATACTGCAAGGTCAGTGGGAGGAAATTCATTTTGCTTATACTTTATGTGGATGATATTCTGCTTGCGAGCAGTGACCTTGGTTTACTGCATGAGACAAAGCGGATGTTGTCAAAGAACTTTGATATGAAGGACCTTGGTGAGGCGTCTTTTGTCCATGGCATTGAGATTCATAGGAATCGTTATCGCCGACTATTGGGTTTATCTCAGAGGGCATATGTTGATCATATCTTAGAAAGATTCAACATGCAGCAATGCAAGCCAGGAATTGCTCTTGTCACTAAGGGTGATAAGTTGAGTCTGTCACAATGTCCTCATTCAGATTTTGAGAAAGCCCAAATGAAGAATGTATCTTATGCTAGTGCACTTGGGAGTATTATGTATGCTCAAGTATGTACTAGACCAGATATTGCTTTTGTAACAGGACTTCTAGGCAGATATCAGTCAAATCCAGGACACGATCATTGGGTTGCTGCCAAGAAGGTTTTGAGGTACTTAAAGAGGACAAAAGACTATATGCTGATTTACAAACATGTTCAGGACCTACAGCTAGTTGGGTATTCGGATTCAGACTTTACTGGCTGTCAGGATGAAAAGAAGTAGACAACGGGTTACATCTTTAAGTTGGCAGGAGGTGCAGTATCATGGAAAAGTGAGAAACAGAAATCAATGACATCCTCTACCATGCAAGCGGAGTTTGTAGCATGCTTTTCGACCGCTACTCAGGCAATTTGGCTCCGGAACCTCATTAAGGAGTTGACCGTATTTGATTTTGTGGATAGGCCCATATAGTTGTATTGTGACAATAACTCTGCAGTGTTGTTTGTTAACAACAACAGAGGTCTCAAGGGGTCTAAGCATATGGAGGTCAAGTACCTGACTATAAAAGAAAAAGTTCAGACTGGTGACATTGCAGTAGAGCACATTTCAACAAATGATATGATTGCAGATCCGCTAACTAAAGGCCTCCGCCCTTGTGTATTTGATCGACATGTCATGAACATGGGCTTAGGAGTATCATGGGATACTGTTAATTAGTGGGTGCTGTTTAGTTTTATGTTGTTCTTATGAAGTTTGTATCTGATTTCGTTACATTTTGTAATATTTGAAAATGTATCAACTCTTTTGCATTCAGTGAGGTATTTGTGAATGTAGATTTATCAAGTTGAGTACACATATTTGATGAAAATCTCGAGGCATTGTGTAAACCTTGAGTACAAGCTATGGGGCATTCTTGGTATTAGCCTTAACGATATGTCTTGTTACACATAAAGTACAGTTAACTATCAAGGTAAGACATATGCAGATTCGTTGGAACCATGAAGAATATTCTCTTGTGACACACTAGATTTTGTGACACTTAAGGAGAGAGAATTTGGACTAACAAAATGGACAACACATGAAGTATCTCTCATTATGAGGTATTGTCCATTTGACACACTACCATATTGAATCCATATCAGTAAAGTTGAAAGCACTCATGACCATGGAAGGCTCTGCGTGAGTACATGCAGTTACCGCCATGATTCAATGTTCGAGACTTTATGGGATCGGATTGACTATTAAGAATAATCTCTAGACCAATATAAGGATGCGCACACAGTTCTGTTTCAATTAATATCGCCCAAGTGGGAGAATGTAAGAATTTCCTAATGTGGGCTTCATTAATTGAGATTAACTGAATTAGTTTGGTCTAATAAAGATAAGATATATGGGTTCTTAATAAGTCTAATATGGGGCTGGCTGGTGTGGGCCGAGTACGGCCCTACCCGTAGTGAGAGGGCCCGTGGTCGAAAACTTTATAAATAGCGCTCAAGTCCCTCCCCTAACCGGATGATGCACAATCTGACTCACATACGGATCTAGAGAGAACTTTCTTCTCGTGAGTGGCAATCTCATTAGGCCAGTGTTCTAACGAAGGGTATAGGGGAGAAGCACTTGAGTTCGTGTTCGGAAACCGTCGCAAATTCCGCGTCAAGTTCGATGGATTCCAAACCAGGTACGCGAATCGATAATTTCTCCATTAACGAGTTTCGGTTTCTGATTATGGTGATCCTGGGCGTGCCATTTTCGTGGCCAACATGAACTCCCACATAATTAGGTGAGTTATTCTTCTGTAACCTTCACAGCACTAATGGGTGTCTTAGATGGTTATTTGCTAACATTACCAATAATGTATAAATGTGTAAATATGTCACACATCTAACTTTACATTGGAGCAGTGTATGAATGGTGGCAAGAGTATGGAGCAGTACCTCGAGCGATTCCCGTGCCAGACGAGAAAGAATGCCAAAGAGTAGAAAGTCATTTGATATTATCAAACAAAATTTACATTATCAAATTATTGTTCCAAGAAAACCAACTCCCTAATGGGACGAAAGCAACATATTTTGGACATGGTGCAAGAGTACAAGAACAACGAAAGCCCACCAAAAGATTGTAGAATCTACTGTCAAACAACATGCTCCCTGAGCAGGGCAAAAAAGAAGAAGAAGAAAAAAACACCCTATAATTTTCAAGGCCAATGATCACAAAAAGTCTGATGGAATTCACTGAGCCTGCTCTGGATCAGCGGCCTTTTCTTCGGGGGCTGTCACCAAATCCCCTCTCCTGCTGCCCCTTTCCCTCTTGCTGTTATCTGCAAACTTCAAGCTCGCCAGATGGAAACCTTTCTCTTGCTCTCGGTCGGTCCATTCGGACAGGTAGTAATCCTCTTCGGTGGTGCCCTTGGCCGACGACGGGCCACAGAACATGCCGCCCCACTGCGGGAAGTAGATGAGGGTGATGGGGAGGGTGCAGCATATGATCATTATGCCCATGAGGGTGATGCCCGTTTGGCTGGAGTATCTGGATCCTTTGAAGAATATCAGCTGGGTCAGGACAGCTCCCACATTGCCACCACCGCCGGTCATACCAGAGATCACCCCCAATGACCTGAAAAATATGCCAAGTGTGCTTCCAGTGTCATATGTACTCAAATTGCTATATGATATTGCCATATACGTACTGTCACGTTGGAGGTTCTGAGCTTATTCCTATGTTCTGTTGATGTTGCAGAAATCATATAAAAAAGGGAATAGATGATTTCCTTCCCACGTTAATCACGGTCAACGGTATCTTCGAGGTTGAGACATAACTACATCACCATGGCGTGGCACGCAGGAGAAGCAATTTTTGTTTATTTCGGTAAACGTCTTTTTTTAATTATGACGCTGTTCTTGTATGCCCAAAACAATAGGAAAAGAAAGTTCATTTTACGGTGAAAATGGAAGGGAAGAAGAAGGTGAAAAAACTGAGACTTTGCATTATAAACTTTCTTGAGAGAAAAATCGGTGTCTGACCTCCGAGAGACGAAAGGAACCACGCCGAACGTGAGCCCGCACGCGGCCTGGACGAACACGGAGAACACGATCATCACAGCCACCGATGCACCGAGCGAACCGACCCGTCCGAGCACCACGCACAGCACACCCCCCGTTGTCTGCACCGCCCACAGCGCCCACAGCCTCCCTCTCATCCCGAACCTGCTCGCCACCGCATCGGACAGCCACCCCCCTGCCGGCCTCGAAAACAGGTTCGCCAACCCGAAGGTCGCCGCCACCATCCCTGCCGTGTGCAGATTCAGATTGAACCGGTCGTAGAAGTACTGCGCGATGATGTTGTCGATCGTTAGCTCGACCCCGAAGCAGTACCCGTAGGTCAGTGCCAGGATCCACCCCCGGTAGTTGGTCATGCCTTTATAGAGCACCCCCGAGAACTCATCCTTCGGCTTCTTGCCGGAGCTCTCAAGCTTCCGGAAGTCGCCATCTGGCATGTCCTGCCCAAAGAACATTATCATGAAGGCCGTCAGCGTCTGGAAAAGTGCTGGGACGAAGAAGGCAATCCGCCATGCCGTGAACTTAGCCGCCCCGGCATCGCGGATGACACCAAATACAAGCGGCATGATCAGCTGGGTCGCACCGCCGCCGAGGTTCCCCCACCCAGCTGCCACGCCGTTGGCGGACCCAACTACTGGCGGTGAGAACATGGAGCTCATCCAGAACTGGGTGGACACGAAAGTCGCGAGGGAGAACCCAGTGAAAAACCGGACGAGGAGAAAGGAGGTGGCAGAATTGGCGATGGAGAAGCAGTAGACCGCCGGGGCGGTGAGGAGGATGAGTGAAGCTGAGGCGAGGCGGGGCCCGAAGAGATCACAAGCGGTGCCCATGGCGACCCTGGCGAAGACGGCCCCGGAGACCGAGGCGATCCCCGCGTTGCCGATCTCAGTGGCAGTAAGGTTGAGGTCATCCCGGATGACCGGAAGGAGCGGCGGGGCAGCAAAGGAGGAGACGAAGCAGGCGAAGAAGGAGACCCAGGAGAGGTGGAAGGCCCGCATGTGGGGATTCGCAAGCGAGAAGAGGCGGAACACGGTCGCCTTGTGCTCCGAGTCCACCGGGAGCGCGAACTTGGCCCGCGCCGGGGACTCCGCTCCCGCCACCTCCATAGTTGACCCTCAAAGATTTCTTCTAAATTGCGATCGGCGAAATGATGCCGCGCTTCTGCTCTTTTCTCTCTACGAGGAAAATGGAACTTATATATAACGCCGAATGCTAATATTCTATGAACTTAAATTGTACAAAAACAAATGTAGATTACGAATTCTTGACTAAGAATATACTGTTAATATAACATAGTCACTGACTGGCCAAGACGAGGTACGAAGCAACACAGTATTTTGTCCTTTGGGATCGTGCGAAAATCCAAACACATGTTGTCCAAAGGCATGGAGGCTTTGAGACTTGGAGGATTGACAGCGAGAATGGCTCTTTGGGAGTCTAAAAAGGTCAGGTTTTTTCGCCGAGTCTCAGTTATTTGGGATGAAGAATTGAGGTTTGGAAGCAAGCAAGGGTTGAATTTTCCCTGGGGGAGAGAAGAAAACGGGGCTTGATGAGCAGACGAGTTGCAGGACTTACTGACTATGTCTTTACCCCATAAAGAACATAGGCATTGACTTTGCAACGAAGGGAATTTACAATGAAGGGAATTCACAGTAAATTCGCATCACAGTTATTGTAGATTGACAATAATTAGTATCCGAGTGTCAATCTTAGTTGTTGGCTTAAAAGCAGTTCATTCAAACATTACCGATGAAGTTTTTGTCAAATATAAATGCTTACACACCTACATATCATGTATTAACTAGTAGCCAGCATCATTTTAGTCTCTTTTGGAATAGAAATGTGGAAATTGTTTACTTAAAGTCTCATTAATGAATAGTATGAGGATTAACATACATGGACTAAATTTCAATGCACCAAAAAGTACAATGACCAAAAGTGTAAAATCTTATTTGAAGGCTTGCACATGTAGGCGTCACATGTCGGTACCGGTGTTGGCTCGGTAATTTCCAGCAAATTTAGAACTGACATTCGATGGAAGAGCTTAAGTGGTTATCTGTAAAATGGTATGAAGACTAGAATTGCGACACAACAAAGTATAGGGACCAAAAACAAACTCTCCCAAAAAGCTACAAGGACCCATAATATAACTTTTCCCAAATATAAATAATCAAGTTTTTTTCCGAAAAATAAGTAAAGTTGATGGTCATATAAATCGATGCAAGACATATAATAAACTACCGGAATAAATCACCAGGGGCGTGCTTATGTGGCCACCATTTTCGCATGAAAAAATGGGAGGTGAGGAGTTCGAAACCCTCCTCCTCTGGATAGCGGGGTTTATGAGTATACGGGGTTTCTCCGGGTGGGCTCACTAGGGGCTCGCCAAGCTCCTCGAGAAGCTTCAAAGTGTAGAAATATACCTGGCAGGCCAAAAAAAAAAATACAGAATAGTTGTACAGACACATAAGAATTTGAACTAGACGAGATGTGAAATTAATTAAAGGGTGGTTGAACAAGATTCTTGGCTGCGATTGAGTGATTTGGAGTGGACTCCGGAATATTCAAAAATGTATTAATTAATGATGAAATAAAATTCAAAGGAATATTCATTGCCAAGTGTTGCAAGGGTTGACTAGCAGCTCCTAACGTGCATTAGCTGTCTCCCGATCTGTACTTTAACGCAATTAAACATCTAGTGGCGGGTGGGGTTTGGTGCTTGGGTGAAATTAACAGGGTCGAAGAGTGTCTCCAAAATACTCGTTAAAGTTTATAAATTGTGTTTTGGAAAGATAAATATTTCTACTTAAAATAGGTGAACTTTTTTGAAATGTAGTATTTGCTCGATTTTCGGAATATGCCCATGTAACGTGGTCATTGTTTTGCGGTCTTGGCCTGTGCTCTTGGGACAATCGTCGACAAAACTCTTGTTATTATCGGTCTTTTCGAGTGTTTTAGCAGCATTTTCATAAGTTTTCAGAATACTGATGAACGCATTTTTTTGTTGATTTTCCATGAACCTAATTATTGAAATTAGGGGCCAAAAATTCTAAATTGGTACACCTATGATAAATTTATCCCCAACTAATACTTGATTATCAAAAACCTCAAACTGATACATTTGTATCAAATTTACCCTCCGTTAATTTCCGTTAAAATGGAATAATACCATGAAAACTACAAACGGAGGGTAAAACCCCAAATCGGTACACCCGTCAACTGCCATATGTTCTCCAACTTAGCAATTTGACGGTAAAATTTAACAGAAACTAACGGAGAGTAAATTTATCTTAGGTGTACCAGTTTGAGGTTTTTCGTGATATTAACCAAAAAAAAAAGAAATTAGGAGCCCACAATTTTGGAAGGGCAATTGAGTATGATTGTAGATGTCGACGTGGGAGAAGTTATAGAAAAAATTCTTGGATCGATTAGCACACGGAAACAGTTGGATGAGGTGCGTTTTAAGGGCATAAGTGCTATAGCTCCATCAAGATGAGACCATATTATGTCACTATATCCTTTTCAAAGTGCATTTATTTCACTGAAAATTGCATTATAAAAGAAAATATTTTCTATAAAAATCATTTTTAAGGAAAATAATTAATTTTTATTTGTTTGGTAATTTAGAAAAAGTGATTTCCTTATTATTAGAAGAGAAAGTCGTTTTTCGCCAATCTAAACTCATTGTTTTTAGTTAATGGAGAGCGTCTTCTGTAAATCGATTAGTTTTCCATTATCCAAACATCAGAAAGTCGGAAAATAAATTTCCGAAGATAATCTTCATTCTAACAAACGGACCCTTAGTTCAAACCAAACTCCGATAATGACCATTAACAACTCAAGCTGAAACCATGCATCCACAAGTCAAACATCCAAACATTTGACAAATTGATTGTGGCAATTTACTTTTCCATGATTCGCTTCCAAAACGATTTCACACATTTACACTCGTTGCGATGTTTAATTCTCGAGGATCGATCCATCGTCATTACACATCACGTAAAAACTTTTCGACTAGCGGTTAAAATTATAGTCATTTGTGATCGGACGGCTACCAATTCTCCGAGGAGAGGCTTTTCGAGAAACTCTGCAAATGCCATGCGGAGGGAAATATTTGCATGGACCCTCGCTTATTTAGCCCAAGCCATTCGAAAGTTTACAATCCAGTAGTAAGGCATGGGCTAGTCCAGATTCAAAAGAGCATCGTCCAAATTACACTTTTATTTCTATCCCAATTCTCATGGTGCTACCATCATCGTCAACTCCCGTCCTCATGTCGTCGCCCCAGGCAAAGCCGGATTTGGGCTCGGCGGCCTCTCGGATTTAGGCTCCCCCTCGACTTCACCCTGTTGATCCTCGACTGCACGAACTTCTTGTGAAACGTGTCAAGATCTTCATCCTCAATGGGATCTCTCCCATTGAGGTTAAAGTCGCGATACTCGAACTCCACGCAGACGCAGAGGCTGTGGATGTCATTCAAGAGGAAAAGCCAAAAACAAAAGGATCGTGAAGTGTCTCGTGTTGCCGGTGCTTGCTTGAGTGCTAAGTTATGTTATTATCCCTCTTCGCTATGGCAACCTATTGGCAACCTGTATGAGTTAGGAAGGGGCTCTTTGATTCAATTAGCCACCTATACTTATGATTTGTACTAATTTTTGCATTCATACCTATGCCACTGTCTTCTCGTGTCACTATACTTGAGATTAGAGCAACTACCCGGTCCTCTTTATCAATTACACGTGACCGTACTCTCGTCACCGTTACGATGTTACCATACTTGCACGGAAAGGACAGCACAACCTACGCATATGAATCCGTTTAGTAACCAATAAATCAATTTAATAGGGTTTTGTAATTATTTTCGTCGCTAGAAAGAACGAACAAGAACTTGAGCTTTGTATTGTTAGTAGGTTGTGGTGTAACGAAACGATGCGATTGATAAGTACTCCTCCCTCTCTGGTACATTGAGATCCTTCCCTAAAACAATGGCCAACCTTAGAAATTCCAAGGTACTCAATGAAAGCCACTGTTACGAAAAGGGGTTGAAATGGCCAACAACAAAACAAACTAAAAACAGCCAATTTCCCCAACCGCCTTCGCGGGCTTTCCGCTCCTGTATAAAACCCAACATCCCCACATGAAAGGCTTCCCTGTTCCAGGCCCTGAAGGAAGAAGAAAAGGGGTCATCAAGAAATTCAATCAAACATGGTTTCCGCCCGCACCTCCGCTCTCATGGTCCTGATCGCTGCTGCGACCGCCACCCTCTTGCTCGCCCACCACGCCGATGCAGGCCGAGTCTTGAGCACAGTCGATCTCTGCCAACAAACCGACTACCCAGCCCTTTGCAGGTAAAAAGCCAGGCAATGTAGGAGATTGACGTGGTTCTGATGAGCGAGATGCATCGAGTCATGATTGCAAAGAGGCCAAGTTAAAGAGTAGATAGAATCAATCACCCCTAGATCTTTTTACCGTAGTCACAAATTGACATGAAGTATACAACCATGATGAAAGCAAGAGGAATAACATCTTATTTCAATCTTGTATGAACCGCAGGACGATGGTGAAGAGCAAGGTGAATGCGGAGAAGGCAACGCAGAGTGCAATCAACAACCTCATCCTCCAGACGAGGGATGCCAAGACATCGGCCTCCAACGTCAAGGCAGACAAGTCGCTAATGGACGTGTGCAACGAGATGTACGAAGACGCCTTGTCGAACCTCATGACCAGCCTCCAGAACCTCAAGTCCCATGACAAGCCCAGCCTTCAGAGCAACCTCTCCGCCGTCATCTCTGACCTAGAGACTTGCAAGGACACGTTCGCCGAGTCCAATGCCAAATTACCCTTCGAGAAGATCATCACCCTCCTGGAGCAGATGGCCAGCAACTCCTTGGCCTTGGCCGCTGAGGTCCACTAAATTATATGATCATAACATGAAGAGGAATGAAGGATTGTCATTGCGAATTTACTTAGTGTTTTAGAATTGTGTTGTGGGGATTAAGTGAGGGAGAGGGAAGCCATGTTTTGCGATGTGAATTGAGAAGAGTTTCTGATGGAGTTTCATGCACTCCCTAGTTTTAAAAACTCGTGCATGTTTGATATTCGATTCCAATAAAAGTAATGATCAAGAGTATTGATTTAACTTCACTTTTCTGGTGCTGGAGTAAGCTCTTTCTTTCTACTTTGAATGCCTGGGCCTGGAGATATGTGGAAGAGGAGGATTAGATAGAAGCAGATGATTCATCATCATCGCCGGCAATGATCAACCTAGACATAACAAAGCAACAGGATTTGGAAAAGGGTCACCTGAATGGCATAAAGGATGAACCCAATATCCTAGCTACAGTTGCACAAGCTTTTGAGATAGGATACGCAGAGAAATTCTTTCTTTGTTTTGGTCATTACAGAGAAGTTCTTTGGTTGACAATGATTTTCCGGGCTACTTTACCGTTTCGTGTACTGTTTACCAAATGGGTTTTCCAGAAACTGTGTAATAGGGACAGTCAGGAAATCAAAAACCAAAACGCAGTATACTCCTGGAGGACCTTCAGGAGGTAACATCATGTGAGTGCTTTTGATGTTTCTCCATATTTCTAGTGTTGCAGCAAAGGAACTCAAGAGATCAGTGGGGGGATCCCGATTTGGTCCCGGGTGTCTTTCGCTATTGAATGAATCTTTAAGGATGGGTTCTATGGTTGGTTTCCAATCTTTAATCAGCACAAGCATCGCCTCTCTCACCTTTGGTAACTCTGTATGCTGATTCTAAACAAAAACCACCATTACTAGACTAGTTCCAACACCCCATCGTCGCATCGCGTCACCACCGCGGTCAAGGACATTGTGGAAGGATACACCGAACGTTCGAAAGATCCCGACAACTATTTCGAGCTGATGCAGTTGCAGACTTTCTTGACCAGCTCATAATCAAGCCAGGGTCCATAAAAAGTTGGGCAGGAAGGCCAAATCTAGTCCATTTATGGGGTCTAGAACTCTATCTTAGTATCCCCTCTAAAAACACGTTCGGTACTCTTCTGATAGATATCATCGCCAGTTTTAAGAGCTTTTTTTCTAATGCTAGAATAGTTCCTCTTGTGACTCATCACCTTAGTAAGATTTCTTCTGGGATAATATTTACACTCGATCATTGGCGCCCATCGATATTATTTGTGCCAACTCATCACCTTAGTAAGATTTTTGAAGAAGTCGGAAATCGGGCCCAGTCGTGTACTATGCAGGATCCAGGTGCATGTCCGATTTCAAGAAACTTTGTGCAGAGTGGACCCCACTTGACATTTATATCTTAAATAAAATAATGAAATCGAGTTTGCTTGGATCTGCACGCATGCCAATCGCTAAGTGAATTTGCGTAAACCTCGTGTGGCACTCAAGAGTACCAAATATTTTCTCCCTAGCTGCCTACCAAGAGAAACTATACAAGCAATCTTGGAGAATTATGATGACATCGGTATTTCAGATACTTCAGACTTTGTTCCTTTCGACATGGAAATTACTTCCAACAAATATCTATTTTTATAAGGAAGTTGTTCGTTTTCTTTTCCCCGAAATTATAGTTGTCCATCTTAATTGTAAAATGGAGATGGCTTGTGTTAACAAAAAGTTATACAACTTTTGTTGGAAAAATGCAATATTCTATTGATTATCTTATTGGTTGGTTGTTTATGAGAGAAAGGAATGAAAAGATTATGCACGACTTACATGTCTTTTTTATGTACTTAGAGCTAGAGACAAAATAGACTAAATGTGTGGTCCTAGTACTTTTGCTGAAAAATCGGGGACGGACCATCTATTTTTTTTTTGTTCCAAAAACGTTCTTCTACCATTTTAAATATTCTAAATATTCTATGTTTAATCCTTTCGTTACAACTTTTCTTATGCCTAATCGAGTGACGGATTGATGACATGGACATCAGAGTACATGCGCCGTGCTATGATTTTCTCGTAAATTTTATGTGACACCACAAAGGTGCCAAAACTATAATCCTAAAGCACTCACGTCTCCCAAGACCGCCTCCCCAATGTCGACCCGCGGCTTGTTGCCGGCACGCGTGAATCTAGAGGCCATAGTTGCGAGCTCGAGTGCCCTTGGGTGCCGCGAGCTCCAAAGAGAGAGAGAGTGAGAAGTCGATAATCTTTCTTTTCAAATGTCTAAATTAGCAAAAAGAAAGAAAAATAAAATTAAGATTAAATTGCAAAAAGAAAGAAAAATGAAATTGCAAGGATCTCAAATGTCGGATTATAATTTTTGCTCGATTTTTTTTTCTGGGGTGGAGCAATTCGGTTGACCTGATTTTTTATATGAGATTTATTTGATTTAGAATTAACACCAATTTTTCATGGGGGAAATTATTTGATATGCAAATTAGGAATAACGACATAGATGGTCATCGAATTTTGGCTTAATGTGCAATATGGTCCATTAACTTTTAATTTGTTCAATGTGATCACTGAATTTTTAGTACATGCTCAACGTAGGCCCTGAACTATATGAAAATGTTTGATATTTTCCTTCAATTAATTTAAGTTCAGGAGCGATATTGAATATTTTTATATAATATATGCGTCAAAAGTCCAAGGGCCGCATTGAAATTGCACATTTGGCTATAGTTAAAAGATTATGTTGAACAAATTAAAAACTGAAAAATTATATTGCACATTATACTAAAATTCAGTAATTATTTGTTTAACCTGCGGAGAAGTGGGGCCCAAAAGGCGATGAGGTTGGCTTTGCCAGGAAAGATAAGTGCCCGCTCCCAAAAACGAGCACGTGTATTGCCACGTGGGTGGGCGGGCGGGCGCCTTTTCCAAAAATCATTTTCCCACCTTCTGTTTTTTTATTTCCGGAATTTTCTGTCCATATTATAAACTTTGTATTCTAGCTCGTGAATCCGGGCGAAAGTTCTTAAGATTATATTCGACACCTTTCGTTGTCTTTACACTTTCGGTTCCGTCTGTCTTTTCTTCACATGGATATCGTTGTTTATTACATAAAAAAAGAGTGAAAATGAACCGACAGAAGAGACTTTGGAGGCCGACCTCCTTCGAGAATTAGTGGAAATGGAGTAATTTATCCTTTTCTTCAAATTTATGCAAAGAAAATATTAAAAAAAAAGAGGGTTCCTCGTGAAGTGGGAGAGGATAACATGAAGGACCCATTCCTTCTTGGATCCATCAGAGCTATGAGAGGATCATTCTGGCTCAAGTTACGAGGTGATAAGAAGTTAAAAGAAAGTGATGGCTTCGAAAAAAAAGTAAATGATTCGAAAAATATTTTTTAAAAAAAATTATTTATATTACTAACAAAAGTAAATGAAAATTTTATTTAGATATAAATTGTTGTCTATAATGAAAAAGTTTTCATCGATTAATTACTTCGAACTAAAATTTTAAACTCAAAATGCCAAATGTTTGTCATAACATTCCTAAACAACCCTTTAGACTAAAAAATTTCTTAACTAGATCTGGTCCGCCAGACCCGGTCCATCGCCATGATTGATCATGTCCATCTCACGCGAGTTGAAGCTCATGCGATCAAAGGCTAGAATTAACTCGGTGTAATGAATTCGGATCTAGAAAATTATTTCCCATAAAAAAACTTATCAATTTGTCCAGCATTTATATATATATGACCCGAACTATACCTACTATCATCTTGCACTCCACATCCACACTCGACAAAAAACCAATCACTATTCACACCTTTTCTTGTACATATCCGCACAGTTTGTTTTCACTTTTTTAAAGCTGAAAGAAACCTAACTGAGTTTCTCGTCAAAGTTCAAATTACCGTTTCAATTTCTTATAGAAATTATGATGATGATCTATGTTCAGATTCATATGCCAACATCTATATGTTTTATAATTAAAAATTGAACTACACAACGCAATTTACAGCGTGACAAGCGAAGGGCATTTCCAACAATAATCCGTCTGAAACACCGACAAGGGAAAAAAAATTATAAAAATCGCGGAAAAAATCTCGAATAAATTACGCATTCGAATATCTATATGTTTCGAATAGCTTTTGCGCATTTCGTGTTGAATAGAGTCAAATTAGAATAACTTGCGAGATCTGAAAGAAGAAAGTGAAAAAGTTAGAAAGGAGCAATAAGGTTGATTTTGTGATGTCCGCTTCACTGAATATCTTCTTCATCTCTTGCCTCAAACTTCATATGGCCATAAACCGAGATTCCTCCCCCCCAGTCAAAAAAAAAAAGAATCAATCAAAAAAAAAGGACGCGAAAATATCTGCCGAAGAAGAAAATATCGAAAAAAAAAAAAAGGAGTGAAGGTGGGGAAGGCGCGGCCGGTCTCGCCCGATAATATCCTCCAGACCCGAGGGCATTTTCGGTACTACGCCCCTCAAATATCTGCCCGAAGAAGTCGTCGTCGTCGTCCCTCCGCCGACACCACGGATCTCTCGCACCGTCCCAACCCCCCCCCCCCCCCCCCCCCGCCCGTGCCCACAACGCTCCGTCACGTGACGGGGAGGCTCCGCCGCCCGAGCCACACGTGGCGCGTGCGGAGGCCCGCCACGTGGTCGCCATCTCCTCCTCCTCCTCCCAATTGAAGAGGAAGGAACTGATAATAATAATAATAATAAAAAACATCGCCGTTCGCATTTCGCAAGTGCTCAAGTTCCACTTCAGATTCCAAGTGGGACTCGCACAGACAGAGAGAGGGAGACACCACCGGCGAGAGTTCCGTCTTCTTCGAGCTCGAACGCTCGCTCAACCGCTCGTTCGTTCGTTCGTTCCATCGAGCTCGCCGCGGAGGCGATTGGCTGCTCGCCGGCGGAGTACTGCCGCCGCCGTTCTGCATTCCCGAATCGATCGCAGGTAGTTCCGGCAGCCGCCGCCGCCGACGCCGATTGGTTTGATCCCCGCCGCGCGTCTCGCGTGCCGTTGCCGTCGCCGGAGGTTTGCTCCGCTTCGTTGTCGCGTTCGGTTTTCCGGTTTTTGCTTGGTGGATTGTGATTTCTCCGCTACAGCGTCGAGTCTCGCCGGCGGCCGAACTTGCGGATTTTGTTCGCGGTGTTTGCGAGGATTTCGAGTTTGTTCTGCCGAATGGCGTTGGCTCAGTTCGGCCGCTGTTCGTCGCGTGTCGCGGCGAACATTGGCGAGGATTCGCGTTTCGCGTCCGAAATCGAGTTTAGGGAACCTGAAGTTAGCATAGGATCTTGTCGACTGTTGATTGAGGAAAGAATCGGTTGTCGTTTGTTTCTCCGTTTTTTGGAAAGTTTGATGCAGAGTTTCGATAGGAATGTCCCCTTTCTCGGTGCCTTGTCGCGTAAGTTCTCTTCGCTTTGTTCATTTTTTTACTGTTCCCTGATCCTTGATTTTTGCTTCAGGGCTAAGGATTGCATCGAGGAACATGAGTTTGCTTCGCCATAGTTTGCTTTGCCCCGCTGTTTCGGAGAATCAAAGCAACCTGAACAGTTCGGCCATCCCCGCGAACACTTTCTTTCAAACCGCATCCGCCAATCAATCGGCAACTAAGACCAGGAGACCGAAATTGTCTACAAAGTTTTCGGGAAGCAGCCTTAACCAGAGGAAGACAGAATTGACCATGGGGAAAGGTCGGGGTTATTCATTTGTCACTAGGGCCGTATTGGCCACTGATCCAGCTCCAGAGGTAAGGCTTATTGCACGCGTGACTGTATCTGAGCTTGTATTGTAAGAAAAATATGGGGCTGTAATGCGCATGTGACAAGTTGAGCTTACTCGATTCGAAAAACTCTTATCAATCCGACTAAAGGATTTGACTTTCAGAGACACATGGCTTGAGCCATACCGAAAAAGTCGTTTATTGGCTTTTTTCTGTGGACGTATTAAAGTTGAGCTCCTGAACAATATGATCTTTGTGTCTCTATTATAGTATGTTTGAGGTTTTTGTACTTATGCACATCAAATCTCTAGGAAGGATTCGTATTTGTTTTAAAATTTGGCTTGGTAATTAAAAAGTGTTCATCAACAGAGATAATCTGGAATGATGCTGTTGTCTGGTGAAGTTGAAAAAAGAAAGAGGCGTAAGGTTTTTATGCATTCTCTAGGAAAGCATATCATATTGAGGGTGAGAGTTAAAGGACATTGTGGACCATCTCAATGGCTCTGTGTGCTGATTCGGCGATTTTTTACGGTTGAATCTCACAGGGAGGAAAGAAGGACAGACAAGCGCTACTATTTGATTCTTAATTTTTTTACACCAAAGTAATTTGGAGAAACCTTAATTTTTATGTTCATTATTACCAAAAGGAAAGATGGATTCGAGCGTGAATATGAAGGGCTTTATGATCGTACCCGCCACACTATAATTTTACTTCCGACAGATTTTCTTGAGATTTGATTCCTCTTTACCATTTCATCAAGATTTAAGGATGTTCGTTTCTTTAAATAAGTGCTAAGCAGCATAATTTGCAAGCTAGTGTCTTCTATCAGTCTGTTACCAAATTTAATATCCTTAATTAATCATTATGCATTTGGCAATCTATTTCTGGCTACATATATATATGTGTGTGTGTGTGTCTCTTTTTGCCTATTTCTAGTTTCAAATTCACCGTATCTTACATACATTTTTTTCAGTTGATTACAAATAGTGTTTTCTCATCGCTTCTCTTGAGATTGGTAATTGTTTATATTGGTCGACATTAATTGGCACTTGCAAACAAGCAGTAGTATACTGATGCTCGACATCCGTTTTTCTACTGCTTGCATTTTGTTTACTGGAACTTATTCCACCTTCGATTTGGTAGAGAAATCTCTATGGATGCGGGAAATTACTGCTTCAGATCAAATAATAAGATACATGTTGTACTCGTTTTGCTCACACATTGGCTGATTAACCAACACTTGGATGGGTTGGCAACTGTGTCGGTGTGACGGATGGATATTTGCATTCCAAAATGACTAGAGAGTTCTTGAATCGGGTTCTCACATGATAATATACTAACAAAAGCTCCGACTTTAGCAGCTTGCTGGGAAATTCAACCTGGATGGAGATATTGAGTTGAAGGTATCACTAATTTGTTTCTTTCTGCCTATATGTTGGTCCATAAGTTTTAGATGTATATGTCCAAATAGGTCGATTGTCAGCTTTTGTAGAGTTTAAATTAATGAGGAAATACTCACACTATGGCAAATTAATCTCAGGTCGAAGTTAGTGCCCCTGTTCCTGGTTCTATGACTCAAGTAGAGATCCGGGTCACTTGTAGTAGTGATACGCTGATACTACACTGGGGTGCAATACGTGATAAAAAGGAGTGAGTTAATGTTTTTGAGTTTTTCGCTTTCATCCGCCAGCTATAAAACTACATATTGTACCCATCATAGTTCTGAAATATTCTCTGCTCTATTTCCCTATTGAAGAAAGTGGATACTTCCATCACGATATCCAGATGGGACCAAAGTATACAAGAACAGGGCCCTCAGAACTCCTTTTGTCAAAGTAGGTTCTTCTACCCAGAATGCACCTTCTCATGTATATAAATTTTTCATTTATCCTAACTGCACAAATAAGCTTCTCAATTGTGATTTTTAATTTTTACCTTTAGTTGGGTGTGAATTCATTCCTCAAAATAGAGATTGATGATCCCACAATCAAAGCTGTGGAGTTTCTTATTCTTGATGAAGCCCCAAATAAATGGTGAGGCCTCTTGGCCCTTTCTTTTTGTTTATTTTTCCTTTTCTTTTTTTGTATAGAACATGATTTTCAGATTTCTCCCTTTGAAGTGAATGTACGTCTTTCCTTCCATTAATTGTTATTCATCAGGTACAAAAATAATGGTGATAACTTTCACATAAAGTTGCCTCTGACAGAGGAGATACCAAATGTGTCCATTCCGGAGGACCTCGTACAAATCCAAGCATATCTGAGGTGGGAGAGAAAGGGGAAACAAATGTACACTCCTGAGCAAGATAAGGTTCTCTTCATTTTGATGATTCAATTGTTTACGTGTTCTGCTTGTTTCTTTTCCTTCTTGGTTGCAATTTCATGAATTTGTATTTCCTTTTCTTAATCTCTCTTCTGGAGCTCTGAGAAACTATTAGAGTTTTTTAACATTATGGACGACACTAATGCCATGATTCTCTCATAGGAGGAATACGAAGCTGCACGCTTTGAGCTATTGGAGGAAATAGCACGGGGTACTTCCATTGAGGACCTCCGAGCAAAAATTACAAAGAAAAGTGAAGGAAACAAAACCGAGAAGCAATCTCCTCCAGAACAGAAAAGTAAGATACCTGATGAACTGGTGCAGGTACAAGCTTACATACGGTGGGAGAAAGCGGGAAAACCTAGTTATTCAGCAGACCAACAATTGGTAGGGTTGAAATTCTTATTTTATATGCATTTCCTGTTCTGTGCATGCACATCTAATTGAAATTTCCAGTCATAATTTATATCTTCATAGCCGAGTTTATCCTTGGTAATTTGTCTTTCTTTCCTCTCAACCACAGAGGGAATTCGAGGAAGCAAGAAAAGAGCTGCAAGCTGAACTCGAGAAGGGCCATACAGTTGAAGACATAAGGAAGAAGATATGCAAAGGGGAGATAGAATCTAAGGTCTCAAAGCAACTAGAAAAGAAAAAGTATTTCCATGTTGAAAAAATTCAGCGCAAAACGAGGGATGTCATGCAACTAATTAATAAAAGTAGAGCTAAACCTGAAGAAGGAAATATCCCGATTGAACATGAGCCAAAAACCTTGACCGCAGTTGAACTTTTTGCAAAAGCAATAGAGGAACGCGATCTTGGTCGTCCTCTTGGCAAAAAGTCATACAAGATTGGTGACAAGGAACTTCTGGTGTGTAGTTGCACAGTAATGGTTTTATTTCTATTTCAGACCACCCACATAGTTTCTTGAAATATGCTAAGTAACTGTCTTGTGTAGGTGCTGGTATCAAAGCTTGCTGAAAAGATGAAAGTTCATTTTGCCACAGATCTTAATGAGCCTGTTACTCTTCATTGGGCTTTATCTAAAACTAATGCCGGAGAGTGGTTGGTGAGTCTCCTAAAAGGAATTTTTGTGGTTGTCAAGTGGGTCATAGGCTAGCCGGATGTTTAAAAAAATCTTATATTGACCTTTGCACATCTTTTCTAGCTTTTCTTATGTTAGATTGGTTTCACTGTTTGGACATTTTTCAGGCACCCCCTCCAAGCATCCTTCCTCCAGGATCGGTTTCTCAACATGGAGCGACTAAAACACCATTTTCGAACATCTCTCTTGAAAACGCTCCTTCCCAGGCATGTGATGCAGTTATTTTGGATCTTCATATGTGCCTTAGATTTCTTCATGTTTTTCATCATTCTTAGTACTCCAGTAATAAATCTCTTTTATAACTCTTCAGGTCCAATGTGTGGAAATTGAGCTTGAAGATGAAAGCTACATAGGAATGCCGTTTGTTCTTCATGCTGGAGGGAATTGGATAAAAGATAAAGGCTCTGACTTCTACATTCAATTTGTTGCTGAATCTAAGCAAGTCCAGAAAGCTATTTCTGTATGATCTTTTAGCAAAAATATTTTCTAAAATTGTGTGTCGTCTTCCTCAATTATTGGCCTTCTTTATTCGGTCTTAATGATTGATGACATTATCTTTTTTGTTTTAAGGATATTGGTGATGGAAAGGGTACCGCGAAGGGCTTGTTGGACAAAATAGCAACAATGGAAAGTGAAGCACAGAAATCTTTTATGCATCGGTCAGTGATATCTGATGCTCTCATTTATTCAACCAAGACAAAATGTCCCTTCATTCAGCGATAATTACGCCATTATCTAATAAACCGGTAACTTTGAACAAGCTCAACTTGTATGTGTACGATTCTTTTCTTTATTGAACTAGGATACCCAAGGAAAATTTAGTTTTCACTGGGCTCAAAATGAAGGACAAGAAACGATTTTCCAACATCCTGTGAATTTGCTGTCTTCCTCATTTCGGAGAACTGGTTCTCTCATCATGTTCTTCTTGGGAAATTCTTTGGTGTTTTTCTAGTACCAGTAGCATAACTTGATGAACATAAAGTGGAAATTACTAAATGCAAAAGCTTTATGCTACTGACTCCTGTCTACTGTCGTCGAACTTTTCAGAGAAAATCAGCAATTCTGCAGCTAAATATAGAAAAATGTAGTTTATATTTTTCTTACCTGCTAGCGTTGAACAAAACAGGAAGCTGGGTATGGGGAAGCTATATTAGGTTCCATTGTTTTTTTTTTTGAGTGGTTGGACATGTCCTTCTGTTCATTCCATGTGGAAGTCTCTTAAATTGAAAGTAAAAAATTAATGGAGATAAATGATGACATTTGGAATAGGAAGGTATGCTATTTATTGCATGCTTTTCAGTGCATGCTTCCTGGATGGAAGAAATATCTATATTGTTCTTTCCATGAGTGTAATTTATTATGTGTTTGTCAATAATTTGCCATTAGTTTATGTAGTTTGAGTACTTTGAATGGTTTGACTTTTTCTTTTGTAACTTTTGACTAAATGAATCATCTTCTTTTCCAGATTCAATATTGCAGCTGATCTGATAGATCAAGCCCAAAATGCTGGTGAATTAGGTCTTGCAGGAATTTTGGTGTGGATGAGGTTTATGGCTACAAGACAGCTGATCTGGAACAAGAACTACAATGTGAAACCACGGTATAGCTAATATAAGAAAACAAGCTTTGAAGTCAGATAAATGGATTTTTGTGCACGTTACATGACTTCCGAATGTCAAATACCATCATATTCCCATGAATCACAAACTGGCTATTTAAGCTGCTTCTGTGTCTGTTCGGTACCGTGTCATGGATTGAATTTGTCACCTTAATTGTCCAGTGGTAATCGGTCCATAGTTTGTAACTGAGGTCATCTTCTCATTATGGTGCAGAGAAATCAGTAGAGCTCAGGATAGGCTAACAGATGAGCTCCAGAATACTTATATGACCCGTCCACAATATCGGGAACTTCTACGCATGATTATGTCTACTGTTGGTCGTGGAGGTGAAGGGGACGTGGGACAGCGAATTAGAGATGAAATTCTGGTTATACAGGTATAAATTATTTATCTTCTTTGTGCGAATTTGGATTTTTCTGTCCGTGTGAAATTATCATAGAGGCTTTATGGACATGCAAGGGCAAGATTCTTCTATAGTTTTTTTCCTCATTTTTCTCATTTTAATAAAAAAAAATGCTGGAGTTTTCTGACTTGTTTGGACAATGGCAGAGGAACAATAACTGCAAGGGAGGAATGATGGAAGAATGGCATCAGAAGTTGCATAATAACACTAGTCCGGATGATGTTGTTATTTGTCAGGTACAAGGCATGCCTCTTTTAAATGGACTTCCCTGCTTATATATTTAGATTCTAGAAGATCTTATATATTCTGTTCTACAGGCACTGATTGACTATATCGAGAGTGACTTTGATATTGGTGTCTACTGGAAAACATTGACTGAGAATGGAATCACTAAAGAACGCCTTCTCAGTTATGATCGTGGAATTCATTCTGAACCAAATTTTGGAAGAGATCATAAGGGTGGTCTACTGCGAGATCTGGGACACTACATGAGAACCTTGAAGGTTGGAGTCATTATCATTCTTTGCTTAGGCTTTGTCATGTGTGTGGGTTTCTTTGTGGTTGTGTACATCATACACAATCTATTTCTCATTGAATACTTCATTTTTACGCTACCACGTGCTCTTTCATATTATGCAGCAAATGCCTTCAGATCACTTCCATCTAGAAAAAAGGAGGCTTTTCTTTGACTTTTACTGTATAGCATTATAAGACTGCTTAATCAGTTTTTTACTACTTTATTTCTATATGAAAGCGAATTTTCTTGACACGAGAGTAGTTTACACAAAATGTGATGCGCCCTTTATTGCCATTTCCCTACTAATTATTCTCAGCACAATATTCCCTGACTTCCATTTACGTGCTGAGAGGAAAGAACCAGCTTCAGAGTTCACCTGCCCTTGGGGTGGAAAGCGAGATTGAAGACTTTCATTCAATTGAGAAATATTTGAGGAACTTTTATATTTGAGCAGCATTTTCATCATTATTGTACAGATGTGGATTATGTATGCTGCTGTCTTCATGTTGCATTATTGCATGTCTAAGCCCTAAACAGCACAGGTTTGATAATTTTTGCTGATGGTCTATTTCAGGCTGTTCATTCAGGTGCAGATCTTGAGTCTGCCATAGCAAATTGCATGGGCTATAAGTCGGAGGTAATGAGCATGAATTTCTGGATCTTTTGGACAAGGATTTTGTGTCTTAAATATGACTCGTGGTTCATGCTTTCTTCAGGGTCAAGGTTTCATGGTTGGGGTGCATATAAATCCAATCCCTGGCTTACCATCTGGCTTTCCTGTAATACTTTCTTTTCGACATCTTCTGTGCTTAGGATTGGCATACGAGCAAGATAGAAGAATTTCTCAACTTTTTCTTTATGTAACAGGAATTGCTACAGTTTGTTCTTGAACATGTTGAAGATAAGAATGTAGAATCGTTGCTTGAGGTCTGAGATTTTTAAAATTGTTATTTCTCGCTGTCGTTCATAGCCCTTCTTTACTGTTTATCTTTTCTAAATTCATTTCAATGTAGGGTCTTCTTGAGGCTCGACAAGAGCTTCGTCCATTGCTTTTGAAACCCAATGCTCGTTTGAAGGACCTTCTGTTTTTGGACATTGCCCTTGACTCTACTGTAAGGACTGCAGTTGAAAGGGGATACGAGGAGCTAAATAAGGCCAGACCTGAGGTACATCTTAATTTAAAGTGGCTGCATTTATTGCTTGATATCCTTAAATAGTAATTCTTGTGTGATAATCAGTTTTTCCCTCCATCATCGGATGTTTATAGCTTGTACATCATGCAGAAACTTATTTACTTCATCACTATGGTTGTGGAAAATCTTGCACTCTCATCAGATGACAATGAGGATCTTATTTACTGCCTGAAGGTAATTTTCTACTTATGTTTAATTTATGCTGCCTAGAGGCTTCATTAAGTGTAGTTAGTAAAATCTAGGGTTCTTTCAATTAAAGCATGTGTGTGGAAAGCTCTCAATCTAATGCAATGGTTGCCACAAGAGCAGTGAAAGTTGCATTTAATTAACTTCTTTGTCATGACACTTAATATGATGGGTACTGTATCTGGTATGTGGAACAAGAATCTTGTAGCTTCTATGTGAGCTTTCAGCTTTCACGGAAACCAACTTTCCTATCTTTCATGGTGATAAGGCAGGAATAAATTCCTGCTACATCTTTGCAACAGAATGCATCCAAAAATTAAGTTTTGACTAATGAACTAGAAAGAAGTAATATTTGAACACGTTTGAAGAACTTGAGTCTACTTCATTTGTTCGCATTTTACATGTTGGGGGACTCGTTACTTCAACCAGCTTCACGTCTGATATATGGTACTTAATCGTTGAGGAGGTTACACTTGCCCCAGGGCAGTACGGCAGGCTATTGGAGAAAAATATTTTAACTGGAGTTTACAAAAATGTGTGGGATTTAATTTGGTGATGAAAGTTTTTAGTTCATTATGTTTTCTGGATTATTATATAAAGACCTCTACTTGATTAAAAAAGCTAACCAAGTCCCTGCTTTAACTGTTTCATCAAATTCCAACAAAAATCAAGATGATCTCTTAAGCTTTATTTTGTCACTTCTTTTTCCGTTTCAGTTTACATTTAGTAGGGGTGAGCATGGTCCGGGTGGGCGGCTCCCACCTAAGAACCGGGAACCGCCCACTAAGGACCGGTTCCGATAAATTGGAACCGGGAACCGCCCATTGGTTCCATGGCCGGTTCCCGGGTGGGTCCATGGAACCGGTCCCACTAGCCAAGGAAAGAGACGGAAAGATGGAGACGGAGACGGAGATGGAGATGGAGAGTCGGAGACGGTGATGTGAGCATTGACCAAGAAGAGAGAGAGAGAGAGAGAGAGAGTGAGCGTGAGGCGAAAGTGAAAGGTGTTTTTCGGCTCAATGTGAGGCTGTGAGCATCGAGCGATTTAAGTTTAGTTTAGGGATTTAGGATTTTTCTTTTTTTTAAAAAAAATAAAAAATAAATAAATATATTATATTTATTATTATATTACTGGTCCGGTCCGAGCGGGCAGGCGGACGGTTCCACACCTGGAACCAGGAACCGGACCGGTACCCACCAATTCCCAAAAAATGGAACCGGGAATCGGACCAGTTCCCTTAGGAACCACCGGTTCCGGTTCGGTTCGGTTCCGGGCGGTCCGGGCTGTTCCCGATTCTTTTGCACACCCCTAACATTTAGTGCAATTAAATTTTCGCAATTATTGCACAAATTGGTTATAACTAATGATAAAAAATCTTACAAATCACGATCTTGCTTATACTCAAATAAAAAAGAATTACACAAAACCTTGAGCCTTAATTGAGTGAAATTCACTAAAAATCAATAAACTTTTAAAGACCCAATTTTCTGCAAAACGGGCTGGGTGACCCATTTGGAGTTTGAAGAAGATTACTATGTCAGCAACTCTGTCAAGGTTCCCATAAAGGATTTACGCAAAGTTTATACTCAAATAAATTGAGCGACTAATGAAAAACTTGAGGTTTTCTAGGACTCGATTGAACTTTGTTTATAAATTTTAAGAATTTTAGTCCAAACATCCTTAGTAAATGTTTTTGTTACCTATTCTTTGTTGAGGATGGGTATTTCTGTCATTAGCAACTGTAATTGAACCTTTTTCCAACTATCTCATCAGAAATCTTCTTATGATATTTAGCACACCATGCTTCATAAAGCAGTCCAATCAAAAAATATAAGCCACTTGGTGGAGGGAGACTACATTTACTAAAACACTCATATAAACCCCTTTGACAAGATATGTGGGACAACTTTAACACCTCATCTCATGTGTGAACTAGACTAAGAACAACACGTGGGATTTGCATACAATGAGCCACACATACACGAAATAAACCTGGGGAATGAAGGATGCAAAACCTAGCTATGATACGATGTCAAAATGCCCAACCCAAAGGCTTAAGCTATTAGCTGGAGAGAGACCACATGCATATAAAGCTTATATAAATGCTTTAGGCAAGCAATGTGGGATACTTTTAGCGCACGTGCAAGCTGTATAAAGAAAGCCACATGAAATTGACGAACTGGAGCCACACACTCGATGTAAAATGGGGTGGAATTTGGCTTTGACACCATAATAAAATGTCTAATCAAAAGTTTAAGCTAAGGCGAAACTACGTGTATATAAGGCCTATATAAACCCCGTAGACAGGCAATGTATGACAACTTTAATAGTCTTCACGTATGTGCAAAAGAAATGTCTTCTAAGATCAATTTAGTCCTTGTAAGCATCTATTGTTGTATTGGCAAATGTAATGTCTTTAATCACATCTCTCCTTGTCAAGGGATGGAATCATGCAATGAGCATGCTCAAGAATGGAAGTAATAGCTGGGCATTATATGCGAAATCTGTTCTAGACAGAACCCGTATTGCACTTACAAACACGGCAGAGTGGTACCAGCAAGTTTTGCAACCATCGGCGGAGTACCTGGGATCATTGCTTGGAGTCGACCAATGGGCTGTATGTAACATCTATTAACATCTGTTCTGATGTTCTCCATTTCTATAAGTTTGCTCAACCATGTCTATAAATGTTTCGTGCAGATCGATATATTCACTGAAGAAATTATTCGAGCTGGGTCAGCTGCATCATTATCCTCACTTCTTAATCGACTCGATCCAATTCTCCGGAAAACTGCTAATCTTGGAAGGTTCTACTAATCTCCTATCGTTACTCTTTTGTAGCAGGTTTTCAAATGGTCGATAATAGAATGTGGTATATAATTGTTTGCTATAAATAGCTGTCTGATCACAACAAATAGGATTGAGGACTTGAATCTCGATCTCACCAACTACATGGTGCGATGGACATTCTAACTTGATCATCATTATTCAGTTGGCAGGTAATCAGCTCGTTTGAAGTTGTGGGATATGTCTCAGTTGTGAATGAGTTGTTAGCAGTTCAGAATAAATCTTATGACGAACCGACAATTTTGGTGGCAAAAAGTGTAAAAGGAGAGGAGGAAATTCCAGATGGTGCAGTTGCTGTTCTGACACCTGACATGCCAGATGTTCTATCTCATGTTTCCGTGCGTGCAAGAAATAGCAAAGTAATGATTTACATTTACAAATGAAGAATGTCCGTGTATCTGATTTTTGGTTGAACATTCGCTGAACATTTAAGCAATAACAGGTCTGCTTTGCCACATGCTTTGATCCGGAGATTCTTGCTGATCTTGAAGTGAATGAAGGGAAGCTATTATGCCTGAAACCGACATCTGCAGGCATCCTGTACAAGTAATTTCATCTGTCTCGCTCATTAGGCATTTTTTTTTTTTTGTATTTTCTAGATCTGTATGGTGCAATGCATATGCATAAGTTCCATGGAATCTAGTTCAGCACAAAATCTTTTACCTCTGTTTCTTTCTTAACAGCTAACAAAAGTTTTCATTATTTCAGTGAGCTAAAGGAGAGTGAGATACTGGATGCAAGTGCAACCAAATCCAAGGAGGACGGTTCTTTTCCATCTTTGACTTTGGTCAAGAAAAAGTTTGGTGGTCGATATGCCATAACATCCGATGAGTTCACGGGAGAAATGGTGAGGCTTGCAAAATCAGCTTCAAATTAGCATTAAAATTGTGCCTATGAAATTTGTCTTTACTTCTATGTGGCTGAAAACTTTAGGTTGGAGCCAAGTCGCGTAATATATCCCATATGAAAGGGAAAGTACCATCCTGGATTGGAGTTCCTACCTCAGTTGCCATACCATTTGGAGTGTTTGAAAGGGTTCTCTCAGAAAGTGCTAATCAGGTATTTTCATTTCTGAAGCTGAGAAGCTGCAAGAACAATTTATTTTTTTTCTCTTGATTTGTTTGTATCTTCGTTCTATCTTTTGTCTGGCTTCATAGTCTTGAGTGCTTCACACTCTTAGTGGTCCCAATCAAGCTCCCTGGATATATTTTAGGTGAAGGGTATATGAGCAGCAATTTCATACCGAATTTATTTCATAGAGATTAGAGATGGTTAAAGGTATAATTAGATCAGAAAAGAAAATAGCGTCATCTAATCTCAAAACTGGAAAATGCTCTATTTTTATTTGGTGGGTCAATTGTTCTCTGCAAGCTATTATTTGAAATAAAATTTTATTTTTCGTTAGCCTTTATTTGTGGAAACAATATGCTCAATCTGCTAATCAACTTTTCAAATGATTTGAAAACCTTCAAATTTAGTAGTTCTACTTCTTTACTAACAAGTTGCAACAAAATGCTAGGTCATTTGTGGTCTTGTCAACAAATAGTAAAGCCTCATAAAGAAATAGTAATTCCATTAAATAGGTCAAGGGGATCAATACAGGTCCAATCCAATCTGATAGACACAATCTAAGTTAGGATTATACGGGTTGAACCTGAACAGAATCCATTTACCAATTGTGTCAAAAGACGATAAACCTGAATGTGCTAATTTTTGTTGTGTATGAGTTGCATTCTTTTGCACATGTGAAACACGCATTTAGTTTGTCTTCATTCGGGATCATGTGTTTTCTTATATCTTTGCTATTTTGGATATAAAGGAAAAAATAATTTGCTATGACTATCAACTGCTTCACTTTTTAATAATGGCTGTTTAAGTGATGCCTATGTTTACTTTGTTGGGCAGCCTTAACAGTGATCTGTACTATACGGCCAAAACAAATGAAGATCTGAACAGAAAGTGGGCTAAAAATGTGATTGTGAATGAAATGGCATACCGAATTTGTTGTCTTTACTGCTGCTATTATCTATTTTACGGAAGAATGGAAAAATTTAATAGAGTTACATCCAACCAAATATTGGTAAATCTGTATATCCAACTACACTTAGTTATCGTCACTGTACTTTTGTGGTCATTTCTGTTCTTAGAAGTATTAGTGCTTTTGACAGGTTGCAACACTCTTTTTACATGACATACAGTTGGTTGACCATGCATAATTCTTAAGATATAAAATATTATGTTGTTCTCTAATATAAAGGTTTTAAGGCTTTTCGACCGAAACATTGGGCATCAACTTTTACTTATTATTAGAGTTGGTGGACTTGAGTTCTTGAACCCATGAATGAGTTTTCCTTTGTTAAACGTTGTATTCTTCAACCATTCTTTCACCACATTTGTCAATTCACACTTCAGGATTTTGTCCTCATACCAGCCTTTGTGAGATGGGGTGCGTTAAAAAATATGGGCCCTATTGTTCAGTTAGAATTAAATGTTTAGAATGGACACATTGCGCCAACTTTTAATAGTTAAGCCTTTTATCCTCAATTTATAAACTTGCAGGAATCAATCCTATAAGTGATTGTTCAAACTCTGCAGATAAAGTGACTTGTTCAATAATAAAGGTGTTCAATTAAACTGACAGATATTCCCAATTTCATCTTTATCGTACAGGTGGTTGCGAAAAAGCTGCAAAACCTGAAAAGGAAGTTGGAAGAGGGAGATTTCAGTGTTCTTCGAAAGATACGAGAAACAGTTCTAGAGCTGCGAGCACCGGAGCAATTGGTTGGTTCTTTTTCTACTGCGACCTATTTTTTGGCAGTGAAGTTATGGTATTGTTTGTAATGCCAAATTGTAGATTATTGTCAGGATGAACAGCAAGTAATTGTAGCTGCTACATTGACTATTACATCCATCAAAACGTCACAGTAGGAAAATGTAATGCCCTTAAGTAAAGACTTTCTGTGAGCATATATGCGATTTCTACAGTGGATCACCCTTGGAGGGTAAGAAGGGTAAGAAAGAAAGTGGGAATGGGGAATTACGCACATACACACACCTACACAACTCTGCACCCACACTTACTCTTATGGAGTCCAGGTTGATGATCAAGGCAGGTACATCAGAAGAAGCATTTGACTTGGTTTGATGGCAGAAAAATATCTTCTGTTCATGAGGGTTCCATGTTTCTATTCCCTTCCCGATGTTCTTGTTAATTAGTAGCCAGAGATGAATCAGTCACCCTGATGCTCTCAGCAAGCTTTTACCTATTACCTCATGCTGATACCAAATTAAAGAGTTGATGCTGGTGCATAACCCATAATTCAACATCTGTGCACTGCACTAATCCCACACAATTTTTCACTTGCAGGTTCAGGAACTGAAATCAACAATGAAAAGTTCAGGAATGCCATGGCCCGGTGATGAAGGTAAGCTGCGATGGGAACAAGCATGGACGGCTATAAAGAAGGTCAGACTTTACCAATGCAGCAGCAATAATATTCAAGACTGATCTATATTTCAACATTGTTTAAAGCTGGACCGGCCGGTTCGACTGATTCTTCCAGTCTGATTGAACCTGGAATCAGCACCCTATACTTTTTGGACCTGGAACCACTAAAACACCCAGGGCTGACCAGGTTCAACTGGTCGAACAGGTGAACAGGATCTGGTGACTTTGTAAAAGACAAAAGCCCTTTGGTGGTGGAAGGATTCAATCCCATCCTATTTCCGTCTTACGCATAGCAATTAGAGCCAAGCCTCACTTTTGGTCCTTTAGTAGCAAACAAATTTTATTAGCATCTGACCCTTTCTGAAACGAAATGCTCATCCTTACTGATGGAGATTTGAAATTATTACACTATATCTAAAAAGGTGTGTTTTACCATCTGGGTTGTGAATGGTCGTTTGTCAAATGAGTGTAATTTTCTCTGTATCAGAATTTTACTCTGAAACGCCTCTTTAACTTAAAACGGATTGTTCAGCCACTTAATCCTGTTAGACCTGTTGAACCATTGCCGACATTGTCAGTTCTTGCACCATTATGGGTTTAAAAGCATTGCATTTTATATTGAGTTTTGTCAGCTGAATATAAATCTTCTTTTCCACATGTTAAACTTCATCTATTTTGGTACATTAGGTCCTTCCTAAACTCCCCTGCCCCCACCCTAAAGAAGAAAATGAATACAAGAATGTTTACATTTCTGTTTCTTCTTTCATCCTCCCCATGTAAAAGCTTACTTCTTTGAAAGTGTTTTTGGGGGAAAAAAAGGTTTTCACTTGGTTTTTTAGTACTATGTTACATGACACGTCAGATGTTGTAATTCATAAACTAAAATGATGGAAACTCTCAAAAGTTCTTTCTAAGTTTTAGATCTCTCAACTAACTTACAGTTCACTGTGATGTCATACTTTTTAGGCAATGTTCTTGTATATTGTCTCACGATTTGAGGGGAAGTTGACTATAATTTGACTTTTTTGGAACTTTTTCAGACAATTTCTGAATAAGAAATCCAGATCATTGTGACGAAAGAATTTCTGGGAATTCTGTACAAAAAACTTGTAGAATTATTCTAAATGAATCACATCACTTGTACTCATATGGCATTTGTCATCATAGTGCAACTGTAGCTAGAGGTACAGATAGAGAATAGTCGGTTACCCTTTATTTGTCTAGGTGACCATTTCCAAATCCTGTTGCTTGTATGTCTAGGTTAATTATTCCAGGTTATGATAATTATTCCAAATCCTCATCTTCCACAAATTTTCAGGTCTGGGCTTCGAAGTGGAATGAAAGAGCTTACTTCAGCACTAGAAAAGTAAAATTAGATCATGATTACCTTAGCATGGCTGTTTTGGTACAAGAGATAATAAATGCTGATTACGCATTTGTTATCCACACAACTAATCCGTCCTCAGGAGACTCAGAAGAGATATATGCGGAGGTACTTTAGCATTCAGTATAGTATATGTTATCTCATAATTGTTGAAGTTGAAAGAATTTTTTTCTGGTCTTGCCCGTAAAGCTTGTCAAGGGACTCGGTGAAACTCTAGTTGGAGCTTATCCAGGTCGTGCCTTGAGCTTTGTCTGCAAGAAAAATGATTTGACATCTCCTCAGGTAACAACTTTCTTTCCAACTAAGGCCATTATATAGGATATGCCTGATGAGATAATGCAATTTTCTAAGAAGGTTTTCGTGTCTGAATTTCTATTTTCAGGTACTGGGTTACCCAAGCAAACCAATTGGACTTTTCATCAGAAAATCCATAATCTTCCGATCTGACTCAAACGGCGAGGATCTAGAAGGTTACGCTGGTGCAGGCCTTTATGATAGGTAAAAGCATTCTACACGACTCTTCTATACCAACTCAGCATTTCTCCTTTCTTTTCGCCATACAGAAGGGCATTAAATCTCTGAGTGCCAAATGATTCTCATCCTCAGTTAGCCTCATGAATTATATTGTGTACAAATTAAGCATCCTTCACTAGTAGGCTAGTAGCTTCATTAATCATGTTAATTTTTTCCCTCCCACCAGACAGGTCTATCGTCGTTGTCAGTTGCACTAGCCAATTAGTTCTTGATTGTGCAAAAAGTATTCCGCGCTTGATCAAGTTTTGCCATTCAGACATCTAAAGAGCTCCCATAAAGAAATCCTAACTTAGGAAGCACTTTAAAATATAGTTCTTGATTGCGCAAAAAGTAATCCGCAAAAAGTGTTGGTATGCTGGTCAGCTGTGAATTTTCCACAGCAAAATCAGAACATGGCCTGGCAAAAGCTCGTGAATAGATACTGGGATATGGAGTTTAGTCATGTTTATTTGCTCAAGCGTGGTTCATCCTTCGTTTTAATTCTGCACAAACGAGAAATTCTGTAATCTCTGTGTGTGTGTGTGTATCCAAACCTCAAAATCCGAGACAAATTATCTTCCATTTTGTTTCATATGATTCTCATACATCAAGTTGCCTGTTGCAGCGTTCCCATGGATGAAGAAGAACAGGTCGTGCTCGACTACACATCCGACCCGCTGCTCGTCGATGGCAACTTTCAGCACTCGGTGCTCTCCAGCATTGCCCGTGCCGGAAGTGCAATCGAGGAGTTATATGGCACTCCCCAAGACATCGAAGGCGTCGTAAAGGATGGGAAAATCTATGTTGTCCAGACAAGGCCTCAGATGTGATCTCACTGGTTTTATCTTCCTGTGAATTATTCTTTCCCGTGTCTGGCTTATTATATAAAAGAGACGGACATAGCAAACCAGAGAGAGATATAGAGAAAATTCAATACGGAACAAATTGGATATATAACGGGAAGGGATAGAAAGTATCATCATACGGTCCGCAAAAAGTATATGCCGTCCATATGATTTCATTAGGACGGTCGATTATAGCCACGTATAGTTCGGTCCTCCAATTGTTCAATTATGTAATACTTTGATCGAGGGATCAGGAAATAAGCTTGGCAACCTGGTTGCCGGCATCCTTCATTTACTCGTATTTAGGTAAGTTTTTGTTTTATCGTATAATTTCGTAGAACGCATATGTCGATTCAGGGGATGAACAAGAGCTCAAATATGATGATCACTTATCATGGAAATTCCATGTGATCATGTCAATAATTAGTTTATATCCGCTTCTTTACATGAAGACGCGCTAAAGATGATCTGTGAACGCTTAATAACCGTTCATGATGGTTCGAATCTTGCATACTGATGCACAAATCAAATGCGTCGATTAAGTTCTTGCGAGATTCCATCGTTTACAATCACAAAACAAGCATTCATAGATGCGCACGGACATTATGGTACGTACGAACATGCTTAAGGTTGACATTTATCTGCAACCGGGAAACCCGACCTTAAGCCAGACTTCATTTAAGCGTCCCGAGAGATGATGCGAAGCATTATACTGCGCGACCGCGAACGAGTTCTTGTCGTCCTTAACAATTCTGCCAGTCGTGTAATTGCCCAAGCTGGCCACGAGAGCCTCCATCTCTTCGTCGATGTTATCGTCCCTAGCGAATCCGGAGAACTTCCTCACGGCCACGCAACGTGCTTTCCACTCGTCGAGTCTCAAGTTCAGCTCGGGATTCGGCTGTGGAGGGGCTCCTCGAAACTTGGCTGGTAAATAGAAGCTGACCCAGTATGATCTGAAGGACCCTTGAGAAGATTGCGCGACGCTTGTCACGATAGGAGAGGTCATATCGATTTCGGAAGAGTTGAGGTTCGCACCACGAATGAATTGGTACAGCCTGATTCAATAAACAGGGAATAGACAGACACTTCTACGAACATTAGAAAGGATTATGACTGCATGGTCATCAACTACAGCAAGCAATCTCACATCCTACATGATCGATGAAAGAATCGAACTTCAAAACCTGTGAAATCCTTCTGTCGTGGACTTCTCGAAGGAGGTTCCTTGGAGAGCAGCAGACATCCAGATGGAATTCCTGTAGAGCCTGATCTCGAAATCAGTGGCCAGCAACGCCACTGCGTATTGAGGCGATTCGATTGCATGATCAGAAGGGAGTATTACTAGTAAACACAAGAACAATGTCAATATGTTTGACGATCTCTTCATTGTTTTTTCAGTGCGAGTTGCGAAAAGTGCCTCATGCTTGATCCCTTTTATAAGCGAAATCTTCAACAGCAGAAGAGAGCACAAAAATCAATGCCGCATCTCTTTTGTACCACGTTTTATTTAAATACTAGATACGAGAGATAGCGCACTTGTATTTGCCTTTTGGTGGTAGGTCATGCTATGCTCAGTGATGACACTTTTGATTAGTTTCGAGAATATATTCTTCGGAGCATGCTTTTCTTTCTAAGGGCTTATATTTTTCTCCATCCCCGATTGAAGGATTACAAATTATAGACATCACTCATATGCGAATTTAACTACATGTAAACATAAACGAGGTCCGCCACTCAGGGATAGAGGGACACATGATCCTTTTATGAATTGGAAAACCTCACCCGATTCAACATGATAATGGCATTGCAATAATCCTCGTATCTAAACAACAATAAAGAGTGTACCAATGCCGATTTTCGACAGGTCAAAGATATTTTATGAAATCGTTATTATTCAAATTGACGTGTGAAAGAACTCGATTATGTAAATTACTCTGAATACGCGTGACATCCCTTCGATATTTGACCATGTAAACATTGCTTCCACACCCTCAATCACATAAGCAAAAAGGCTGTGGTGCCCAAACATTGTCTAAGTGCGTGAGAATCGTAAACTAATATCCACTAATTCAAGCTGTCACGCATCACCATTTTCCTGCCAGACAAAGACAATCAATATCACAAGTCAAAGATTCAGTGAAGAACACAAATTGTGGGTGTTATATTATTTTTTTTTAATGAATAAAGGGTCGAAGTGCTCACTTTTGATGTTGCAAAACTGGTGGAATCTGGTACGGAGGAAGTGCCCATGGTATTCCAATGGAAAGATAATATACATATTCTCCAAAATAATCTCCCACTAAGTTTTGTGGTTTTTTTTTTCTCTTCTGCAATACATTTCTCATTTATTAAGATAAAGGATCAGCGTACATAGACGTAGATGCCGAACAAATTAGAGCCCAAAGGATTTGAGGAGGATATAATGTTCACTTAGAATGAAGGCTTTTCTTAAGGCTTTGGCAACCCTGCCACCTTATTTGCTTAGGCCGCTTTAAAATCAAAATAAAAGCTATGGGCATGGGCTTCCTTGTTAAGCAAACTCACCTCCCAAGAAGCTTCTTCTTTGCCGGATAAGCAATTTATTGGATCAAACTGACCTGAGTTCAGTTCCAAAAAAGTACTTGAGCGTGATATGAAGGATGTTAGGGTTTCCAGTAGAGCCGGGGCCTCAGTTTGAGCTACAGACGACATCATGACAGTTCGCGCAAAGCCATCCACGAGAAGACCGGAGCTATCGCGACACACACATGCTATGGCTCCTTCGTTAGTCTCTTCCATGTAAGCTCCATTGATGTTTAATGTCAAAGCGCCCTATTTTGGTGGTTTCCAAACTCGATCCGAAGCTTGTCTGAGCCCAATTCTTTTCTAAGATCTAGCCGTCCAGCGAGCAATACTATCATACAAGGTCGAAGTAGCTTCCCCGGGCAAGTACCAAGCCCGGGGAAGCTACTGGAAGCTGCTTCGACCTTAATTTCGATAAATTTTTAAAACTTCTTATAAGTTATTGATTTCGACTGTATTCTATATTTCGATTGATTTCGATTGATTTCTAGTGCAGTAGAAATCAATCGAAATTAGTCAAAATACAGAATACCGTCAAGTTTTAAAAAATTTAAAACTATACGGTATGAACTATGAAGACTTTCCTTACCAAAAAAAAACTATGAAGACTTTAATTCCTATGTAATTCAAAATTTCAGTAACCCTAACTTACAAAAAGTTTACGAAACAAATAAAAAGAGTAATTATGTAATCTGCAAGGTAAATAAAAATACATATATAGAGTTAAATGGTAAACACCGCTTACAAGTTTGAAAACATCGAGGTTGGATTTACCAAAATTGTTTCCAAACCCTAGAGTAAAACACAATCAAACATAGGCCAACAAACTGAGTTGGCCCATTTTGATGGGTGGCCTTAGAGAAGTTCTCAATGGGCCTCAAACATTTTCTTTTTCTTTTTTTTGTGAAAATGACATATCGTTATCTTTGCTAAGTGATCTTGGAAAGTCCATCAAAAGGCATAAATTAGGATGGAAGCAATCTAGATTTGGGTTCGACTAGCGTTGTGTACATCCCAAACCCTAACCAAAATTGTGCGAGATTCTCAATGTGACTGCGGTACCAAACTCGGGTCACCTTAGGAAGATGAGCATGAAGACCCGCCTGAATCCTATCCCAATTGGTCTATACATTTGATCAATACTTTTAAGCGAAATACAACACTTATTTCTGATTAAGGTAACTTCAAATGGGCGGTACTAAAATAGAAGTCGTGAAAGCAAGTCTACGGTGATTAATCTATCAAGAACTCTCCAATAGATTGTGGGGAAAAAGATAAACAAAGAAAACCTAATGCTTGCAATAATGTATGAAAATAGGGAAAAATTATGACAAATGATAAGGAAACGATTTCAGGTGAAATGCTTGATCTATTGTGTAAATGACTTTGAAAAATGACGAAGGTATTTTTGTAAATAAGACTCCAGTTTTGAGGAGCTTGCTTAAGGGATTTCATTTCTATCCTATATTTGGTCTTTTAATTGAGAGGAAAATGATACAAATGGTTTCTGAACTTTGGTCAAATATATAATGTCGTTCTTGAATTTTTAATTTGTTCAATATAGTCACGAAACTATTAACAAATGTTATTGCGAGACTATATAAAAATGTTCAATATTGTCTTTCCATTAAATTAAGTTAACAGAATTTGCTGATGTGACTTTTAATCAATTAAGTTTGAATGGTGGACAATAAAAAAAAATTTAATCGTACATTATCCAATTAAGATATTTGTCTCAAATCACGACATAATAATCCATGTCATCGAATAGTGATGGACATGTTAACACTCTAATTTTTGTTCTTTTAAAAAGTAGATGGATCGAAAGATAGATATGTTGACTCATCATTTTTAAAAATCAAACTCAGCATATAATAATCTACATCATCAAATAACGTCTTATTTGTTGTTTGAGCAAACGGAAGCACTATATTGGACATTTATCAATTGATTATGAACCACATTAAACAAATTAAAATTTATGGATCATTTATGTTATTATTCCTTTGATTGAGACCTAGCTATTTCCCAAAGTCTATCTGGAACAGTTCAAGAATACATGAATCTCATTGATGGTTGCTAAATTTTGGTGAAATTTATAATGCGGTCCCTAAACTTAATTGACGTACTAAAATTTTGATTTCTGCAATTGATGCGCTTCGACCAAAATCTCATTTTTCCTAATACAGGCTAATGTGTCGGCCACACGGCGCTAATGCAATGTCTAGCTATATGCCACGTTTGCTCTAAAATTTTTGGAAAAGAATGGGAGAAGAGATGTTGATAGTGAGGACACTCTGCCATATTCGATGGAGGGTCATCGGCCTTCTACCAATATAAGCATAAATTACTTTATTTCAAAATCATAGTTTAATGACCTAACCGCAAATTCCACCCTTGTCCGATGACTATCGATGGAACTTACTCTTAGATTGAGTTTGGTGTTTCGAATTATTTGGCATTAAGCATATAGAAGGTATAGGGGACATCAACGCGTACTACACTATTGATTGCTCGGTGCACATCGTATGTGATTAGATTTAAAAAATTAATAAGTCCAGATTCAATGTTTAGGTCATGTGCAATCGTACATCCAATTCAAACGTCTTTCGAGGACCCTCTATTGGTTTATATTAAAGTACACATATTGTCATTGGCTCATGCATGCATTGTCCTCCACAATGTATCTGTTCAAGTATTGTCCCACATCGCTTGATATTGAGTCCTAAATGCTTTTTATATTCATGTAATCTCCCTACACCTATTAGCTTATACTTTTGAGTTTGGCTTTCTAACATGGTATCAGAGTGAATTCTATCCCTTTTCCAAATGTGTATTTACTGCTCTTTATATTCATGTGATCTCTCTCTACCTATCAATTTAAGTTTTTTTGTTGGACTTTCTAATTGTACCCATTGATCGACGATATCAATACTGAAACATTCTTGATTCCCGTATGCCATTAGCAACACCATCACAACACCATGCTTCTCTTGTCCCACAATATCATAAAGTCTCAGTCGACTGACATGATCAAAAGGCATGTGCATCCGAAGGCCTTCAATAATTAACAATCATCATCACCATGTCTGTCCTCCCCCCCAATAGCAACCAAAGGTGAGAAGAGACTGATGTTCAGATTGTGTACTTGGTTGGAGCAACATCATCATGCATGCATCATCATGATGTGCATATGGCATGCCAATTCAAAAACCCCAAAAAAGAAAAAAGAAGAAAAAGAAAACGTGAGAAGAAAAAACTTTTTTTACCATTTTCGAGAATTGCAGCCCTTCTAAATCACAATAAGGTTGGGTCTATCTATCCCAAAAATTAATCAATTAATTAATTAGGCTGGTCTCCACTTTCCCCATAAATTGCTTTGGATAAAGCATAAAAGAATTTCCTGAAGTTATTCCTATTGATTTAACCAGGAAAGCTGACCAGCTCGCTGGGACAAAATCATTATTCTAGACCGACATTCCATGCTCAGAAAGCTGTTCTTTAAACCCCTCTTTTTCCCTTTTCAAGAGCTCATTCTCATATTTAAATAGATAGAAGATAGAGAACTTATTAATCAAAATAAAAAAAATTGCACAACACCTTTGAGAGAGTGTGAGTGAACAGTATCTTTGGAAAGGGCATAGGTGGTTTTCAGTGGCTGTAAATTCTCTCTCTCTCTCTGTTTTTAAAGATATTTATTATTAATTAACAGCCATTCTTTCTCATGATTCTGGTCTCTTCTTTTGAGGTTGTCTAATGGTGGGGGATGTTGCTTTAGTAATGGGCCCAACTTTTAAAAACTATATTTAAAGATTCTCTTCTGGTCTTGTCAATTAGGAATGCTTGGTT